TTAATGCCGAAATTTAATTTTCTTGGCAGCTTTGAAGCAATAAAAATATGTTATTCTACTTTCACAATTGAATACATGGTACGTGATATGCAGCTTTTCTGCATATACAAATTTGTGTGGACAATTAATAGAGGCGGTGATATGTGTGTTTTATTTTTCTAAGTTATTTTGGAATACAGTTTGAATTAAGAAATTGTAGGATATTATATGGATTAATGTCATGAAAATTCATGTTGGTTGTTTGTTTGATTTTGCTTAGCAACATATCAACCACTATGGGTTATTTAATACTGAAATCTAAATAGTTTGAACACAATTATATGGCTTCAACTAAATATATTTAGAAAGCAATTTTATGCCTTCAATTATAGATGTCTTGCTGGTCATGTATTGTCGGTCGTTTTTATATAAAAATGTGTTGCTGGTATTATTACTATTAAAATATACTTTTATCCTTTCATAGTGTTTTTGTTTCGGGTGCTTACTATTTGCCCATAGCTGAGACCCTAAAAGGTGTTACCACCACGGGTTAGGGTGGACCTGGGAACAACAGTAATTAAGGTGTGGTCCCAGGCTTCTCAAAACCTCCAATCTCCCGATCAGAAGCCATGCTGCCGGATGTAGTTTATCGTCATACTAAGGGATTTCGTCAGTTTTTCAAATATCACATCTTTATGCGTCATGTCATTATTTTTTGTTTTTTTTTTTGTTTTAAATATTGCATCTTCACGTGCTAGTTAATGTTATGTCGGTTTTTTTTTATGAAATATATTTAGCATGTTAGTTCCTAAATGTGATAACATTTTATTGATGTTGGGTTGTTTGTTTTTTTTTAAGTTTAATGCTTTTAGTATTTGTAGTTGTTTTTTCAGTTCATTTGATATAGTACTTTTATATTGTTGGTCAGGATTTGCCAGATTTCATGTTATGTTTTTATGTCATATTAGTTGGTGATTTTATTTATGTATTAATGGATAAATGGCAAGTTAAATGGTGTGACAAAATAGTGGTTGTGTATGTGTTTGAATTATTATTAGAAAGACATTTTCTAAGTGGATAAGTGAATTCATAAATAACATTGGTCTGTTGGAGTTTCAAACCTTATTTATAATGGCTTATGAAAGTCGAAAGTACTCAGACATTGAAGAATTTATATTTAAACGTTCATTGGAAACCAGGTTAATGACTCGAAATATAGAAAATTAAACAAAAATGAAATTCTTAAAAAACTTTCACATGTTTTGTATGTTGCAAACAAACCCTTAGTTTTAGTACTTCTTAAATAAAGGTGAAGTAGATCTCAGGCACCGATAAGTATAACAAAACATTGGTTGGAAGAAATATTTTTATGTGTCAAGCTCTGATTGATCCGAGTGGTAGTATATCAAAATTAACCTCTGAAGTTTTAAGATTCAGTGTGCTATCTGGAAAACAAATTTAAAGAAAATAAAATCATAGCCTGAAGAAGACTACATAGAAATATTAAGTAAAAAAGAATTAGAAATATTAAGAAAGGAAGAATTTTAACAAAAAATTCACGAAGAATAGGAAAGATGAATGCTATTCATGTTCATGTGATTCACAGTCAATTCCCGATTGTTTATAGTTTGTTAAAACTTTTATTCCCTATGGTCATCCATACATTTATTACTGATTTATTCGTATAAGACTGTTTTCTCGGGGCATTTTTACTTATACGTTATTTAATACCCAGAAAGACTTAACTTCTATAAATGTCTGTGGGAAAATTAAATAAAATAATAATAAAGAATAAAAAAAGAAATACATTTTACCATGATGCTAGTAATAAAGGAACCGGAAAGAGTTTTGGCCATCTGTGCAATTTTATGATCTCACTTCTGAAAAGGACAAGACCATGCTATCTTCCCACTTTCCAACACAGTATTTGGATGTGTTTTGCGGAACCTCCACCAATGAAGTAAGTACAACCTTTACTTTGGTCATTCCAACTCAGCTCAAAGCTGACTTGAACTTAACCATTCTTATCATTACTTACCCTAACTTACTTCTAGACCAGTAAAAGAAAACGAACATACTTAAGAGATGTTGAGAACTTTGTTTCCCTACAGTTTCTATATAAAAAAGAATAATCGGTCCGTAGTAGAAGCCCAAGTTTTTATTGCTTCTTTAATTGTTTATATTTGAACACATACACATCTACAAGACACCAACACGCAACCTTAAATCCTATATGTCTAACATTCGGGGAACCAGATGAGCTTTATTTTTCATTTGGTTTTGTTATAAAGTTAGCAAATGGACGCGTAAAAAATATTCCAAGATAAATAAGTGAAAAATAAATTGGTTATTTATAAAAATGTATTTTATATATGTAGTGAATCCTACTTGGAGTTATTTGTGGTGCTTTCACTTTATTTATGATAATGTAATAATTTTCCTTCCTCTTCTCCAGTTAGTATATGCCATACTTGGTCGGTCATGTGACTTAACAGCTAATCAGCAGAGCCCTGTTTTTACAGAGCGTTTTGTAGGAGAATATGTTTCTGCCATTGGTGGGTCATCAAATAAATGTTTTCATTTGATGACCCATCAATGGCAAAAACATTTAAATGCAGTGGATACAGGTACTGATCTTTTCTTTGGCTGATCATAGCTTCTGCTACTGGATGTTGGTTCCCCATTTACAGGGCCGATGCATACTATCCCGTATATACGTTACAAATTAAACTAAGCACACCTGACTATAACAGGAGGAAAAACTTTCGTATTTTGACGTCGTTCTGGAGACATTTTTTGCGTCCACATTTGTGAATTTGTTTTGCTCAAGTTGAGTCTCGAAAAAATACGATGTATAAAATCCACTATTTTTTCATCCATAATGTGTTAAAATTTTACAGCTTTTTAACAAGAAAAATCTCAAGTTGTTAAAAATTGACGCAAAGCATTGTTGATAGAATGATGACATGTCTCTAATTTGTCTTTAGATACATTGTATTTATTTTCAATTTTTCTAGTTGATTTGTTCATCTATATTGCATATGATTCATTATTGTACATAATTAGGTTACAATAAAATTTGTATTATATATGAATACTACTTTATGTAAATTGTGATGTAGTAGGGTGAGAAGCCGTGTATCATAGATGGGGGTGACATGAGACCTTTGCACCGGCCCTGCCTATTCATGTTCGTGGACCAAACTGTGAGCAAATCGGATCTCTCTCAGACAAAATTTTGCTGAGAGAGTGGACAAATTGTGTTCGTTAAAAGTTTTATTTTGCTTTATACCCGCTTACTGATGTATTTGTCGGAGTTAGGTCCTCCTTAATTCCCAAATTGTCACTAGGCGTAATTCTCCCTATACAATAAATACTGGGCGACTTCTCGTCTCGTTCTCTTTTTCATTTCTTCATTTCAGCGACTACAATGTAAGCTCTCTTAGAAGATCCGCGTCTTCCTATTTTTGTGGGAGACGCCATGAACAGTATACACACATACACGTACGTACGAACATTCACTAAAGAACAAACACAAATATTCACACACACATACAAATGCTATTGTCTATGTCTATTGTAAAATTGTTTTGTTTAATACATATTTGTTTATATATATATATATATATATATATATATATCGGACTTGTTTGTTTTCCTTTCATCTTCAGTTGGACTTAATTCAAGTCCGGCCATTTTCTTGTAGTTGGACCTTTTAATATTCTACCAGGATTTACACACGTGTTTCTAATACAACACGCTAACACACACGGTCCTATACATATTTATCTAGTGGTAATTTTTACCTACGATTAGCCTTGCGCAAATTCTACCTACAAGGTCTGTAAATTTGGGTTTACTTCATTGAGTGGAACATAGTTATTTTTAAATTAATTTTTTCATTTAAAGCTAAATTAGGCCTGCTATCATTCACTAATTTCATTTGTTTCTTACACTTTCACTAACACACCGAAAATTGTTGGTTGACCTTTTCAATGGCAACTGTTTATTAGGGACTTGTCTGCTTCAGCAACTCTTTCCTCATTCCATGAAGCATCTTTGTTAATGTAGTAATGATATTTCTTTAAATGTGTTGCGTATTGTATTGTAGCAAAGTGAAGAAGTCAATTTGTCTTCGTTTCCACGAATTGAGCTCTCGACTGTCAGGAAATTATGTTTAACAATCGTTTCTACCCACTAGGTCATTTTTTTAACTCTCTTATGAGCAATTGTACTTAAATTTGAGTAAGTTTTTCTCTTCTTAAGCAAATCAACTACTGATGCCAGCGTGGGTTAAGCAACGCAAAAAATAAAAAAAAAATAAACAAAAAGTGTTACAAAAACAAAACGTTACTTTCTCGTACTGTAAGTATTTTACCAATTCTATTAGTTCAGTTACATTGGAATGTCTTTATTTCATATTTATAAGACCTAAGCTCGCAAACATTTAAGCACCTTGTGTACTAATTCTTACACAAAAATTAAGCAACCCGAGTACTGGTCAAAATCTTAAGTTGAATATTTTTAAAAAATCGTGTAGTAGATTTAAAGCATTAGTTAAAAAGTAAAACATAACATCAGGCTAATTCTCTGTCAGTCGTATGATCCTTGTGTTTGGTAGTAAGTCACATACAGGGGGTCCTCAACTTACGTCGGAGATCCGTTCCTACGACGCGACATAACCTGATTTTCGACGTAGGTCGGAACTGACCTACATAAGCACCCACGAGTCTGCCTTACGCTTGGGAGCCATAAAGTTCCCCCCAAAACCAACACAAACGAGAGATAGCGAATGTAGCACAATCCAATATTGCGTACAGCCAGTGAAGAAACAACGCCCTCTTCCTCATATAGCGACGCGTGACAATGTATGGGAGATGGAGCCGTAATTATGAAACGCCGTACGTCGAATCCGACACAACCCTAGGACCATCTGTACTCTGATTCAGTGAAAAAACTAAAACGGACAAGCGACACTAAGATGAATAAAACTGGTGAGTATTATTAACTAATGAAGCTTACAGCCACATCACATTGAAACACAGGTTCCCATACAATTCATCGAAGTTAAGCAACCTCGAGCCCGGTCAGTACCTAGATGGGTGACTACTTGGGAATACCAGATGCTGTAAGCTTGGACGTGCGAGTGGTCTAACGGATAATGCTCGGAATTGTTAATCGGAGAGCAGCGTTCCAATTTCCATTGGGTTTGTTATATTCAGTTAAGTTATATTCACTTGGGAAAGTAAAACTAAAAAAGCTTGAAGAAAGATTTTTCATTATTAAAAATTAATTTTATTTTAAAACGTTATATCTAGAAAGGTATGAATCCACCTCTTCTCCACCCAGCTATGGGTTAATTAGTAAAACTTTTAAATTTTTTATTATTTAAAAAACTCTTACAATCTAAAAATATATTCTGGCTTTAAATAACCTGCAAAGGGCTGATAAGCCGTAGAAAACGAATCAATCAAACAACTAAATATCCTCTCTAAGCATGAAAAGCGGAATGAGAGTAAGCTACCATCATGAATTGAATAAAGAAGGATTTGGTTCGAAATTCCGAGAACGTTACCGCTATGACAGACACCTGAAGAAGGCGAAGAGTAAAACGGCAGAAACGTTGAGTATTTACAACCAAAGTGAAGATATTTAGTTCGAATAATACAAAAAAAGGCATAATCATTCCTCGTGAAAATTCCGACAGAGAACGATATTGCCGTAATTGAAATTAAAGTGCAGTTTTAAAATCTCAGTTTCAAGTACCTGCAGAATCTCTGATATCAACACATCATACAAACATGCGTATATTTTATGTTCGTGTGTGTGATACTGCTTTATGCAGATAGTGTATTTAATTTAGGTTTACTTACACATTTTCCATTTATCATCTGTACGTATGTGATGTGTATTCTTTTTGAAACAATATAAAAAACACATGCGTCATACGCACGTGTACTCAGCCAAAATGCAATGCAGACAAACCTAGAACGCTGTTCTGTCGCACATAAGTTGATAAATTTTGATTCAGAGGGTGACAGAGATAAAATGGAGAGAAAAGAAGGAGAGAGCCAAAGGGATGAACAAGGAGGAGGTAGTTGGTAGAGAAAAACGTTGTTGCTGGGGCAACGGCATTCGTCTTTCTCTACAGTGAGTACACTGTCTTCTAGTACTGGCTATAAAGGAAGGAAGGAAGCTGGCTACTCGTCACCTTAGGCCGCGCCACACCAATATACACAGAAATGGCTGAAGTTCTCAATAATGAACCAAATAGTGGCAGCGAGAAGAATAAGGTAAGATTGGTACATGAACGATTGAAAAAGCAGGATAAAAAGACCAAGATGCTAAATCGGCAACTCTTGATTATGAAAATGAAAATAGCATTATTGTTTCCTTGCTTACATGCTGTTTTAAGGTTTGTCAGTCTCCGTAAGAAAGAACGTTACAATAATAACAACTACTTCTACTCTATCTTTCTTTTCAATTTAAATTGGTTTTACTATTATAGAAAAATTCCTTAAATTTTCATTAAACTAAAACTTAAAGTAGATTCTTTATCCATAAAGGCGCAATTACCAAACCCGAAAATTGAGTGCGATTTCTAAAGATTCTTTTAGTTTCATAATAATTTGAGTTTTGACAATACAAGAGAAGAGAATATTGGTTTAAAAATAAAATGTACATGTACATATGAATAGCATGGGTTTGACTAGTGTTCTTTTACTTTTAGTTTTTACGCTTAAAATTAATTTATTTAAAAAATTACATTTTTCGTTTTCTTTCTAAATTTTTTCTTCTTCATTTCTGACTAATTAGGAAGGCAATCATGGATTTAATTTATTTGTTTTAAATATCTACCAAAACTTAAGAAACCAAACCACTAACCAGAGTTACAGATTTTTCAAGTATCTCAATGTAACACGAATTACTGAAAACAAACTTGCTTTGATTTTAGTTACGTGACTTTTTTGTGAATAACATTTATTGGATGATCCACTGCGTAAAATTGTTTGAAGCAAGTATAGATCGCATCTCATGGGAATAAAATTCAAAATATCCATTTTTAATTCTAAATGCATTATTCGATAGAAATAACAACGTGAATAATGGATGTTATTTTTGTAACTGATATTTTTTAATTTTTTCTTTTGGTAAAAATAAAAAATGTTATCAATGAAAAATAAAAATATATTTATTTTTTGCGTGTTTTTATTGTGCGCAACTTACTGGTTTCAGTTTTAGTACCGTCTCCACGGGAAGGTTATTTATTTTTCTTCTAAGACAAAAAAAAGTAAAAAAAGTAAAAGTCACAGTAACTGAGTAGATACTTGGAAGAGTAAGAAGAGCTTCTTGCTTTTTTTCCGTCAATTTAAAACATTGTTTGTAAAGAAGACTGTAAGTGTATTGTAAGTACAAGTTTTTTCTTTCTTTTATTTTATTTTTTATTTTTTTTGAGTGGGGAATTAATGGGGAAACAAAACAAAAAGAAAGAAAAGCAATCATTCTCTAACCAAAGATTTTTATGACAATGAAGAAAGGATCGCGTTAAAAAATTGTAATTTACGTAACGAATTTTCATAAAATCATTACGCGCCTTAAAAGACGGTTTCATAATAATGAAAATACGTAAAACATTTTCTCACTGCCTAAATTTTAAGGTGCACTTGAATTTTGAAGTAAAAAGAACATTTTTCTCAAACGTTTTTTTACGGTTTTAAAAATAAATTTTATAAATGTTTTTGTACGTTTTACTTTTACCATTCTATTTTTTCAGTACTTGCCTTTATTATCAGTGTATTTTGTTTTTGTACTAATCATTTTGTTTTTATTTTACCATTTTTTCTCATTATCACTTAGCATAAATGTTTTTTTTAACGTTAAAAAGTCAAACTTTACTTTAGGCACAAGACATTATTTTCAATATTACAAGGTAAAAATAAAAATAATATAACTTTTAAATGTTTATTTCACATTTAGAATGCGATAACGCAGTTATTTTTCTATAATGCAATATCTAAAAAAATAATATAACCAGGACATTATTTAATTGCCGGAAAATAAATAAAATACAATGAAGAAGGAAGAGATCTCGTTCGAAGTGTCATGCATGCTTTTATTGTTTACAAATGTTATAACGGTGTTAGGCGTAAAATGTCTCTATTTTTCTTTCTTCGATTTAAAATATACGCAAAAATAATTAAAATAGAACAAGAGAAAAATAGTAATAAATGAACGAAACATTTTCCTCTAATTTACACTTCCACTTGAAAGAAATTCTTTAAGTCTTATTAATAAAAAAAAGAAAAAAGACATTTAAATCCACAGTCCGAGATTGACACGGTCTGTCTGTCTGTAGTACTGAACTACTTTGTCCATTTTTAGTTAGGTGTTTGAATTTTAGGAAAATTATTTAAAAAAAAAAAGTAAATTCAATAATGAATAAAGATTTTTTAAATTGTGTTTTTTTTTGTTTTGTTTTTTACATTTTAAAAGTAAAACAAATTTAGTTTAAAGCTATTCTTAAAAGTTAATTTAGATAACAAAAAACAGAAAAAAATATGTATAATTGTCTTTTAATTTGGGCGCGTGTTATTTGCTTAAAAAATTAACTGTGTTGAAAGAACAAGAAAAGGTGGGAGAGAAAGAGAACTTAATTTACTTACACAAAACAAAAGTTAAAAGAAATTTTATTAAATTAAATTTTCTCGCACCTTGTTAGACGAAAGAGTAACTGCCCTTGGTAAACGAACAAGACATTTAATTTAAAATTGCCTTTTTATTTTGACGATACGGAAAATTTTACCTGATCCGCGGAAAATGGTGCAACGAACACATGTAATTATTTACTACTAATTTATTTATCTTCTCTGTCATTCATTTAGAGTGATCAGAATGTATTTCTTCAGTCTAATGAAAGAAAATTTGGAGAAATGATATTGAAGTAGAGACGAGAACTTTTACGTAAACTTTTCCCGTTTGTAATTTGCCTTAATTTATATACCCTGTTCAGGTGAAATTCAGTATTATTTATTTATGACCACTCCTTGAATCAGAGACCCATTCAGTTACAATACTTGGCAAGTAATATCTACGTACACATGAAATCGTAATAAAAGTTATACCGTACCATTTTTTTTATAAACGTAAATAAATCAAGCAAGCTGCAAGAATAACGTACCTAGCTGATTATTATTTTAAAATACGCACAATGTCATAACGTCTGATTACTCACCACCATGTTAAATTCATCGCGACCCCCCTCCAAAAAACAAATATTTTTCCAAGCTACCCGATTTTTTTTAAAGTAAAATGACGAGTGTCAACCAGTGAGACTTTTTATCATAATTCGTTTGTTTGCTTTTTTTTGTTCGAGTTATAATACTGAGTAGTAATTGTTAGTAATTATTATTGATGATACTGAGTATAATATTCAACTGATACTTTGTATGAGTAACACAGTGTAAAACTGTATCACTTAGTAGCGACTTAGTGCTTGATTTCAATTTCAACACAAATTGAAACGAGGTGATTTTAAATTAACCAGTTTAGTAATAATTATATCTGAAATTTAAAAAGAAATAATCTACTACAAATTAAATATTAATAAAAAATAAAAATAACGTGTCAATTTTTGTTAGTAGGCATTCCATTAAGACTGAAAAAATTAGTGGTAAAAAACTAAACGATAAGCATTATTGGCCGTAAACATTTATTTACAGAGACTGCTGTTAATAAAAAGTTTGTTTTTAAGTAAAAAAAAATTATATTGAATTAACTGAGCTAACAAAACAACCTAAAAGTATTTAGCGCCGCGCTGGAGAAAATGGGCGTAGTTGCGCGCGTTTGTGTGTGCGAACCACATTCAAAACTCCGACTTTTAACTGGGTTCGAAAGCCAACTAGCGTAAGAATTTCAAGAAGAATAAATTTCAAAACCCATAGAAATTCCACTGGTGTTCACAATTTTTAGCCATTATGTTACCTCTGTTCTTGCTCACGCTTTCTTTCCTTGCTCTGTCAGTGGAGCACAGAATACGTACGCTGACAGCATCCCTTGCAGAGAGGGGTTAAAAAAAAAACTTCAAAAGAGGCTACATACAAAGTAAATGCAAGTCTTTAAACTACTACTGTGTG